AAAAAGCAAAACAACAGCTTGATACAACAAGTTAAAATACAGCTGAGATACCTTTTATTTATTTAACAGTTCAATTATAATTTAGAGGATTTCTCTTTTACGTCTGAAAAAAAAACAGACGAGCGGATCAGCCTGAATGTCAGAGCTCAGGTCCTGTAAGCAAAACCTTCCCTCGCCTCTAAAGGGCAGAAACAGAGACGTCTGAAAGGACACCTGAGCCTGCGTTTATTCTTAGGAGCACAAACACCGTCGCTCACACAGACACAAACACCCCCGTAACTCATTTATATTGCATGGAAGAAGAGAGGCAGTCTACATAGGCGGTTATAGGATCCTCCCACTGGGAGCAGTGGGTGATTCCCCCTGTCCCTCACACTCATCACCCCGCAGGCTCTGCCAAACAATTCTGCCATGTTGCATTATGTAATATCTTCAGTGCTTTATATCTCCGAGATGATACGAGAGCGAGTTCGCGGGGTTGAAAAGGAAAAGAGGCACAGACGGGACAGCTCTTTTAATCAGCTTGTCTGTGCTGACTGACAGCAGAACAATGCCTCTGCTGAAGCTCCTCAATTAAAAGATTTCACACAGTCGCAGCTGAAATAAAGCACTTTATCATTTCTTCTGCATGTTTTTTCTTCCTCTCTAAACCTTGTTAAATGCGACCTGGGCCGACAGAATACCAATGACAGAGGCGTGACAGGTGATTACAGCGGGGGATCAGAAACCTGAACCCGGAACACGAACGACAACAACGACAGCACTGGAGACAGACGGTCAGTGTTTATTGAGTCAGTATTTACAGAGACAGCAGCGTGCAGATGTGTCACTGTGCTACGTCTGTGAATCCTTATAGAGAATATTGGCCACCAGTGCTCTCACCGCTGCCGGGTCCTCAGCATCTGTGGAGGGAAAACACAAACGTGGCGATGACCTTTGACACGAGACACTCAGTGACCAGTTGAACATCACGAGGACTCTGCTGACAGATAAAACTTATTCTGCTTTAAAAGGAAGGCAGAAAATATCCTAACATTAGGAAAGAGTGAGCACCATTTTAGCCACACTAGCAGCTGCAGAGCTAATTACCTACCTACCTCTATTTACATATCTATCTATACCTACGCACATCTTCTTTCCTACACCTACTTTATACACCCACTTATATCTACCCACCTGCCCTCCTACCCACCTTAAGAACCAGAACCGTCTTTTGTTTGGCATTTTATTGTCCTCCCTACTTTCTGCTCTTTCTCTACTGGGTTGAGTCTTACCGGTTTTTCATATTTGCATCACTTGTCACAGCTGTAATTAGATAATTTCCTCCATTGCAAAGTGGATCTAATTTGGCTGAACACCTGCTGCAGCTGCTTCCCAGTTAAAATGTCCCAGCTGCACCTTCTTCTTTCACATATTTCATCTTGCAGATGTTTTAGATCCATTAAATTATAATAATAAAAGATATGAAATTACAGAGGTAGACACCCAGTGGAGGTTTTGATCTCTGAGAGTATGAAGCTGTGTTTTTAGATATGGGTGCAGATTGAATTTTGTATTTTGATGACGGACATGCTAACAGATGATGTGACGCATATAAGTGTTATAGTTTTACACAATTTCACTGATCTACAGTTAGTGAGGGAATATTTTATGAAGAAGTGAACGTGTTCATCACAATAACATTGATTACTAACTATAAAAACTCCAGGGGGTACTTTTAATATTATGGTGACAATACAACCAAAAACATACGTTGGTTGGCACTGGAAACATTTACTGTGAAGCAGCTGCAGATTATAGACTGTAAATAAAGATGGATGAGACATCTCCACTTCCTTCCACCAGATCCCGGATACGAACGCTGAACATGAACACTTGAACATGAACACTTGAACAGTCAGTGTTATAAGAACTACCTTAAATTATTTCACGTGTACTTTTTACTTTTAGTTTCGTTCATGTTCCATCCATTAACATGGAGGAGGTGGGGTTTCTGACCTATACTGCAGCCAACCACCAGGTGGAGAGCTGTCGCGTCTTCCATCTTTATTCACAGTCTGTGCTGAAGAGTAAGCTACGTATGGAAGCACAATGCTTCCACGCTGGAAAAAGAAAAAAAATGCATCAGTATCCCGTTATGATGTAAAACAAATCACGTCATGATTATTATTATAATAACTTATTATTTGAACGTGACATGTTTATCAGTAAGTAAGATACTGATCCAGGTTTTTTTCTGGCGCAGCAGCAAAATGCTTCCGTAGCTTTTTTATTACCTCGGCTGTAACAAAACATTTCTTACCTTGCACTGCTCAACACTAGCCTTCACTGCTACACGCTACTTTTTCTAGTCGCAGCTGGCCGATGATTGAACTCCTCAATCACAAATTAAAGCCGACGGTCACGTAGAAGGGGACCGTCCATATTAAGAAAGCCACCGACGTTGAGACGAAGAATGAGAGACTCTTCGTAATCATCCTTTGACTGAAGGCTGATTATTAATGGGAATGAACAGCAGGGAAGAGCCTGAGAGCTGCTGCTGACATTTCATGGTGAGGCAGCCAACACCTGGATTACAGTTTTCCTTTCCTTCTCTCCTTTTCTCCATTTTGTTCTTAATGATGATATTTTATTTATTTTTTAAACTCAACCTTAAACTATTCTGATGGGACTTGCTTGAAACAGAGATGTATGTTCTCAAAGCCAAATATCCTCTCTCCCCCACACGCTCAACCTTTTTATTATTTGTCCTTGGTTGTCTCCTCTCCTCTCCGCTCTCTCTTTCCTTGTCCCTAGGCTGCTACATCACACATATTCCACGGTGGGTTAGATAACACGCCTGTGAAATCATAGTCCAAAGAAACGCAACAGGCCCAGAGTTTGAATTATTAACACAGGCAGCAGGAAGCTTCGCTAACACCACTACCACAAAGCAAAAAAATAAAACCAGCTGAATCCTGCATTTTCATCAGAATGGTAAACTGCCCCAGCAAACCCTGCTCATCATGCGATTGTGTGTCATCATTTTTTTCCTCCTCCTCTTCACTAAACAGGCTTCCTCTTATTTCACAGGGCTTTTTGGACATGAAGTGCTCGGATGTCTGATCATCCATGCAGACCAAGAGGCCCTGACAGTCAGCAATTTAATCAGCCCTTCTTGCTCTCGTAAAATATTTGTGACATGCATGGAGACTCAAGACGCACGAGGACGGACGTGAGATTAATGTTCTACTACAAAAGAGCATCAGCAGAGGAAATTAAGAGGAAATAAATAACCTCTGTGAGCATTCACAATCATTAACCCAAGTCTTTGTCTTGGTTAAACATTGTGTTTGTCAGGAGGTTTGTGTTTGGACTGGAGAGACGCCGTTTTTATGGAGAGGACAAAAGATCAAAAGCAGAACCAGAGGCTTCTGTGTTCTGTGCGTGGATTTAAAGACGCTCTAAAAATACTTCTGTCTCCTCAGCTCAGTGGAGCGACTTGCTATGGATTTATATAGATTTGAATGCAGAGTGCAAAGCATTGAATTAGAGGCTCCCTGAATCTTTTTCCTTTCTGGCCTCTTCCTATACAAGTACATGATGACGTACTTCAGTTTCATGTAATCGAATCCTGTCTTCTTTGCACCATTCTCGACTTTTTCAAAACATATTTGCATCCGATAATCACCTCCTTATATATGTGATCATAAATATATTGACTCATTTGTATTTTCAGTTGCTGCTTCAGTAGTTTTCCCACCCCGGTTTAAGAAAGCCTGTCTAAGCACAAGCGGTTCACAGAAAAACCCATGCATGCATCTAATCCAGCATAATTTCATGTTGTCAGCATCAGCCTCATGCTTTTTTGTGATAAACTGGAGGAAACACATTTCACTGTGGGTTGTGAACAGACATGCATCGTTCATTTTGCTCTATGCCGGAGATATATTCATGTACAACTGCCAGGTGAAATAGTAAAAGCACAATAGGAACTGACAGGAAAACAATGTTGATGACAATGAAGTGTTTGATAAGAAGCTGTATAATGCACAACTATGGTATAGTGACTGATGCTGTTAGCCTGTAAACACTTCCCCCTCACAACAAGATGTCTTTCTAGGTTTGCATGTTCTCCCAGTGTCTGTGTGGGTTTGCTCCAGGTAAGACACCGTCCTCCCACAGTCCAATGACATGCAGGTTGGTTAATTGGAGACTCTAAATTGCCTGTAGATGTCCGCTGGGATTTGATCCAACCCCCCATGAGGATAAGTGGTATAGATAATGGATGGATGGAGTCTGTTTGGCTACGCTGTGAACAGACACACAAGTCGCCCTTTGCTCATTGAGGTGATGACAGGTTCTCTTAAATCACTTGTGTGTGTCACTGTTTATCTGATTCTTGAATGAGAACAGTTTAACTCATGGCATCAAGACATGTGCGGATCATTTAGTGTTACAACTGAATGGCAGACGAGTTGATTACAATTAGTCATAGTCTGTCTCTTGTCCAACAACGACTGGGGACAGAGGAGATGTTGGTGTTAACAGAGCTTGTATCAGCTTCTCTAATTTGAATCTGTAGACAAGGGACACGATTTTGTTTTTTTTTCTGGTTTCCATTTCTAGTTTCCAGGTTTGAACAGACTTTGTCTGCTGTTAAATTGATCTGCTTTCAAATGCAGGTAGCTTTTAACAGTAGACGATAGCCAGTCGGATTGGATGGATGGGTAGAGATTGTTGGCGTACTCACCGACTCCCAGCACCTTCATGTGGTTTTTAAACTCAGGTTTCTCCTCCAGGACCCGCAGCAGGTTGGTGGACTCCATACGCTCCAGCTCCACCTTCCAGTAGATGTAGATCTTGTTATTGAAGCTCACATACACAAGGCAGGGGCTGTTTTTACCTTCCTTGCACGTGTACTGACCTGCAACCAACACATACAAACGTAAACACTGAATTTATTATATTACACGCAGCTTTTACTCGAGCAGCAATGTGACCAGCGCCTGGTTTGTGAATCACAATGAACACATCAGCAGTCCTTCGCTGCCTGGTTACTAATACATGTTTCTGTGCTGGAGCCAGCTTCCACACAAACACAGAAACCGATCTAATGTGTGGACTGTTTTCATCCACATACTGTTCACACACACACACACACACACACACACACACAAAAAAAACACATCTCGGTGGATTCGGCCAGATCAAACATTGTCTGGTCTCTTTAATCCATTTACTGCTGTGCATGTCCCATTAGTTCTCTGAGATAAACTGTGACACTGCAGAACGATTTGAGAGGAGAGAGGGAGAGAAGAGGAGGACGAGTTTGAGAGAATCTGTAGCTCCATGTTGCCACCTGCTGGTGACATGAGATTCTTGAAAATCTGGACAAACCCTGCACCAAAGAAAAATCAGGAGCCGCTGAACAACAAACAAAATGATTTGACGACAACAACTGAATAACAGATGATATAAATTCCAACATCATAACATAACTTAAATGTAAATTCTTATTGTCTAAAAAGGTTGGGATCGCTTATTTCAAACTACAAGTACGCAAACGCAAAAATTCAATCTGATTAAAAAAGGTGTCTCACCAGCACAGAAGGCGTTGACGTTCTCATCGAACTGGAACCGGACCACTGAGCGATTGTGGTCGATGATGTAGGTTTGACCGTCCCAGGCACACGCCACCACCTCCTCTCTGCCGTCGCCCTGGAGGCAAACAAGCATGTGCACATATTAGTTTTAAATTAGATGGAAAGCTTTTTCAGAAATCTGAATTGTTAAGACGTCAACTATTTTCATAGGTAAATTTGGTATTTTCTTAATTAAATACATTTAGACTCACAAATCCAATCACCTCTCAAAAGGCCTTTCATTTCATTTCTATTTTTCCAGCTCAAATATGTGTTGGTTGATGCTACAACACTGAAAAGGGGATCTGGTTTTGTATACTTGACCCAATAAGTATGAATTCAAACAATCTATTTCTGTCTTTCTGCTGAAATGTAAAAAACTGTAAAATGATAATAAAATAAACATTGAATAAACTCACCGTGACGTCGAGCTTCTGCAGAGCGAAGAGCTGATGATCCACCTGCACTGACCACAGCAGCTGCTCCGAGCTGTCCATCAATTTCAGGGTTCCTTTAACATGTGAAGGCAAAGAGAGACAAACAAAAATAAAGATCAGTGTTGATATTCAAGACTTAAGAGACAAATTTCAACTTGCTTTTAAAAGTAAAGACTAAATCAGCAAATTACAAGAAACACTCTTGAAAGTAGCTTTGTGAAAAACACAGATTCTGTTCAGAACCGTTTTTGTCAGAATCAGATGTCTGATGTTTTAATCAAAAGGAAAATGGAGAGCAGAATATTTAATGACACCTTCAGACTGTGGTAAATAATCCCTGCCATTATATTGCTGTGAACAGATTTGAAATACAGCCAGCAATATTCTCCCTTAATATTTTGTGGGTATAATTCTATAAATTCCTGTTGGGTAACATCATTTATTTTCTGTATGTTGGCTCACGAGGGTGTCAGCAGAGGACACATTGTGTAAGTGCTGCTGGCAGCGATGATGATAATCCCCCCAGATCCCTCTTCTTGAAATATTGATGGACTCTCCAGCTGCTGACAGTTATCTGCTGCTGCAGAAGGATCCTCCACATCAGCAAACAGCCACAGAATAAAGCTCTGGGTTTAATGCTCTACCTGTGCTACTTATAGAACTCCTCATGCAGTTAGAAACACGTATGACATGCTAATCTGCCTTTTATCTTGTTATACAAATAACTGACTAATGACTGATCGTATAAAAGGTGCTTTCACATCTTGTCCAGGACAAGGAAATGAAATATTCTTCACTTGTACTCCCTTTCATTACCTCCACCAACATGGATCTAGATTCACGACTTACCGTCTAAAGTGCAGAGAGCGAAGAGTCCACATTTAGAAGATTCCTCTTTTGAACCTGATGAAAAACAACGATCGTGTATCAAAAATATATTCAACAAAATCTTTCAGATCTCATTTATGGCTACGACCATGTTTCCTATGATAAAACTCCTGGACTGACTGTTTGCTACCTTTGCTAATGCTGCCAATGAGATGAGTGGAAACGTTCTTGTTGTGTGTCCGCCCGGTGGTCAGATGTAGAACTATATCTCTGGAAGGCCCCTCGCTGAGAGCAGAGGAGTCAAAGCATGTAGAGGAAGCAACCAAACACTTATAACACAAGCATTATGAGGGGGGGGGGGGTGTTGGTTTACCTCCCAGGGGTGGCAGAAGCGTCATCTCCAGAGGAGGAGTCTTGTTGTGTCCAGGAGCACAGCAGGATAGCGTAGCCGCAGCCGGGCTGAGACACCATCAGCTCCGGTAAACCCTCCGGACCTGGATTCACCGACAGACTGTCCACCTGCAAGAGCAGCATTTTTAAAATGTTCAATTATATTTTTGACAAAAGATGCACCAGGTCAGGAGAAAAACAGCTTCTAGTACAAGTGTTGATTAGAAACCAACGGATCTTGAACATGAGAGGAAACGCTGAATAACACTGGTGGTAATAAATATCTTCTTCTGCTTGATAAATCTCCATGAGTGTGAACGGGGAGGCTCCGGCTGCAGCGTACCTGCCCCTCCAGAAGCCATTTCTTCAGCATAACCAGCTGACCCGACCCCAGGTCTGATCCGTCAGATGGCTCCTCCCAACGGAAAGCTCGCACCACCCGGTCTGTGTAGCCCACCACCAGCTCACAGCGTCCGTCCCCATCTGCACACACACACACACACACACACACACACACAGGTACACTCTGCAGTCCCCAGCTTTTTTTCAACAAACACGATAAACAGGATGCACCTGTGAGATGTGAAGTGGACATGTACCGATGTCCCTGATGAGGATGACTTTGGTGTTGGCAGGAATGTGTTGGGTGAAGAACGGCCGCTGGTCGTCAGAGCACAGCGACTCGTGCTGGCTCGACGAATCAGATTTGTTTGCAGCGGCGACGGTCAGGTCGAAGAGGTGAAACCAGCCCTCCGCACCCACAGCCACCACCAGGTTCTGACAGACACACGCAAAAACACACAGAACACTGAGAACATCCCCGTGTGAACATTCATGACACAGTGCTGCCGCTCGTCTCTCATTTCCTCACCTTCCCTTTGTTGCAGACGTCTCCGACCGCAACACACGTCAGCTGCAAAAAACAAAATCCCACACGTGAAACCAAATCAAAGTCACTTTATGGAACCATGAGCTGTAACGACAGGGATCTCGGTGAAGCGCTGACCATTCCCACACAGCTCCGGGTGATCCAGGGTTTGCAGTCATCGTTCTTGTACACAAGCAGCTTCCCACTGGTGTCTCCCACAACCAGCTCGTTCAGCTGCAGTGAAATGAGACAGAACACTTGTTTACTCTGCGTGATCTCTTTTAAGACCACGACATTCATATTACATTATGTGCCGTCTTCGGTTTGTCTGCATCATTACAAGATCTGAATATTATATTCAAATGTAGATGAGTCTCCAGTGGAACGTGACATTAGCAGATGTATTTGTACTGTGTGCTTTATCATCTGTTCGTGTATTTACACAGTTGTCTGACAGGAAACTTTAAAGCCAGTTGGGATCAGTCTAAAACTTCAGTTCCTAGAATTCCCGAAGCTGTGCAAACAAAATGATCAAACATATTCAAGTGACGTTAGCTTCTTTACCGAGTCGTTGTCCGCGTCCCCCAGACAGATGGCGTGAGGAAACAGAGTCCCGGTGAAGTCCAGACTGACCCTCTGCACATAGTTTAAAGATCTCATCGCTAACACGAGGGTTTATCCAGTAAAAACCACAGAGAGACGTGGAAACATGAAGCTAACTTCTCCTGACAGCACGAAGGCTAGCTCGGGCGCTAACAGCTAGCTTAGCTACTGTTCGCTGCCGGAAAGATTAAAGCTAAACTCAACGTTAGCATCACGATACAGTAAACCTGTATAACCACGCGTATATATAGTAAAAGTATTTCTATACACGTATCTGGAAAAAAACAGGTGTAGAAGTACTGGCTCTGAGAACACGCGCGCCTCCGCGAAGTAAACAAAACCATGTGACCTGAAATCTACGGAAGCTCAGCAAAGACAAAAAAAGGGTCCGTTTCGCGAAACTTAATCTAATATAACGACTGCACAATTATTATAACATAGATTTAATGACATCAAGGAATAAAACTGTTGTTTCAATAAAGAGATGTTAAAGAGTGCATTCAGATTAGATAAGATTCCACGAGATGAGAGTCTCTAGTAAAGTAC